CTGACGGATGCAGAATTCTGGGACGAGGAGCTGGAGAAATTGACTGGGATCTTCCTCGGTAATGGCTACCTAAGTGGAGTAATACAAAGACACATACGGGCCGTGAAAAGCCGATGGCAGAACGGGGACTATGAAAGGACAGAAAGTGGATATGCCTACCTCCCTGCGAACTAACGTAAAAACTACAACCAATATTGAGTAAATTGAATATTCAGGAAGCCATGAAGGAGAAATTAACACTTTTTACAAGTCTACCAACGCAACATGAAAGGGTAGACAAATTGGACTGTTCGGGAGTTTATTGTATATCATGCGGCGGCTACAGACAGAAATATATTGGTGAAACAGGGAGAAAAATTAGCGCACTAATCAAGGAACATCAGAGGCTCTGCAGAAAAATGGATACTAAAAGATCAGAACTAGTGAAACACATCGCACGAACTGGACACAGAAAAGAAAGCTCCATATGGTGACAACACAAGGAAGTGGAAGATTAGGGAGGCCATTGACATCCTTGGGGATACAAACCTAATGAACAGGAGATTGGAGGAAGATAAAGTTAGCGATAACTTTGCCTTCTGCCTAAGCAAAATCGGAGACAACTATAGAACAAGACCAGCAAAAAGAATACGCCTGGACAGGGATCTGTCGCCAATCGGAGGAAAAGGGATTGTGATGACGAAAGTGGGGGGCAGGGGAATTCGGCAATTAAGCGAAGACGTTGTCAGTGAGTGAGGGCCATTTGAATAAACCAGTACAACTTTAGGGGCCTGGCAGTTAGGGAGCGGAGAAGACGGATAAGCACACCGTCATAAAAATTAGTGTTTCTGGACAAAATGCACTAGAAATCCACTTGAGATGCCACATGCGAGCACAGTTTGCTTAGATAATAGTTGTTTAATCAAGGAGACGACCAGTGTAGGGAAGGCCTAATATCTGCAAGCATGGGATTCAGAGCTTAAGCGCTCCGCTCAGTGAAGCGGCAGTGTATGTACTTCTAGGGCCTTGAGAAATAGAGCCAGGAGTGAAATGCACACTCA